TGAATATATAAATAGGATGAGATACCAACAATATTGCTGTTACGTGCCTTCGAGTCGCTTGTGACTCATAGCGACCCTATATCCAACAGTTCTAAACTCTGCTCTGTCCTGTGCCAATCTCACTGTCTCCGACGCACTTATCCCAATTGCCCCAGTCACCGAATAAATCCATCTCCCAGAGGGCCTTCACCTCCTGCGCCTGCCCTCCACCCTCCCAAGCATGATGTCCCTCTCCAAGAACCGGTCCCTCCTTACATCATGACGAAAGTACATCAGACGAAGGCCTCAGAATTCTTGCCTCCAAGGAACAGCCCGGTTTAACCCTCTCCAGGATGAATCTGTTTGTTTTCTTAGCAGTACATGGCACCCTCAGCACTCTTCTCCAACACCAAAGCTCAAAAGCATCAATTCTCCTTCTATCCCCACTGGTCATTGTCCAGCTCTCTGATGCATAACAAGTGATTGCAAAGACCATGGCCTGTACCAGACACACCTTAGTCTCCAGAGACACACCGTTGCTCTTCAGTACTTTAGAGAGGTCCCTAACAGCAGACTTTCCCATGGCAGTATGCCTTTTAATTTCCTAGCTGCTGGTGCCAAGAGGGTTGATTATGGACCCAAGCAGACTAAAGCTGTGAACAATTTTAATCTCTTCACCATCCATCCTGATGCTGCCAACTGGTCCAGTGGTGAGAATCTTTGTCAAGAAGACACGGAGCCTCAATTCATATTGAAGGCTACAGTCCTTGACCCTCAGCAGCAAGCGCCTCAGGTCCTCCTTAGTTTCAGCAAGCAGAGTTGTGTCATCTGCATAACGCTGATTGTTTACAGATCTTCCACCAATCCTGATGCCACATTTCTCCTCACAGAGCCCAGCCTCCCGGATGATCTGTTCTGCATACAGGTTGAAAAGGTATGGAGATAGGACACATCCCTGGCATACGCCCTTCCCAATTTTCAACCATACAGTGTTTCCTTGCTCTGTTCTGACGACTGCCTCTTGGTTCAAGTATAAGTTTTGCATTAGCACGATCAAGTGTTCTGGGATTCCCATTCTCCTCAGAGTCAGCTACAGTTTGTTATGGTCCACACAGTCAAACACCTTTGCATAGTCAGTGAAGCACAGACAGATATTTCTCTGGTACTCCCTGCTTTCAGCCAATATCCATCTAACATTAGCTACAATATCCCTAGTACCACGACCCCTTCTAAACTCAGCCTGGACTTCTGGCAGTTGTCTGTTGATGTGCTGTTCCAGTCATTTTTGGATAATCTTCAGCAGAATCTTGCTTGCACGTGAAATCAACAATATTGTTCTAGAGTCCACACTCTGTTGGGTCACCCTTCTTTGGAATGGGAACTAATACAGATCCCTTCCAGTCAGTTGGCCAAGTGGTTGTTCTGCAGATTTCTTGACACAACTTGGTAAGCACGTCCAGGGCTGCATCTGTTAGCTGAAGTATGTCAATTGGTATACCATCTATTCCTGGGGCCTTATTTTTGCTATTTCTTTCAAAGCAGCCTGAACTACTTCTTTCATCACCATAGGCTCTTGCTCATATGTTGTTTCATTAAATTCTTCTCTGTCTGCTAATTCCTTTCAATACAATGACTCAGTATATTCTTTCCATCTTCTTTTGATACCTCCTGGATCATTTAATATATCTATAATACTTACATAAAATATGGAAATAAGGCTCGATGTCCAAGCTCATGAACATTTAGAAATATTATTTAGAAAACTTATAATCCCAGCCATTTAGAAATAAGTTTTTATCATTACCTAATATAGTTCATTTCATTTTCCCTTCATTATCTTCTATTTATGATTAGAGAAATTTTAGCACTTATAGTAACGAGAGGTGATATATTACAAAACTTTTAAGTTCACTGATACTACACTGAAGGTATAAGCCAGTCAAAGAAAGTAGAGAAACACTATTGAATCTCGAAGATACAAGAGTATACTTATTTTTCCCTCATATTTTTACTTTCCAAGTCATTATAATTATTTACATTATATATCCATGTATACATCTGAATGGGAGACATGTTTGATTTAATCACAAATCACTTTTAATTGTGACTACTTCTATTCATCTGACTTCCCTTAATGTCAAGAGGTCTAAAACACTCTTCAACCATCAGTGTCTGATAATATATAGCATGTTGTTGTTGACTGCCTTCGTGTTGAGCACAACTCACAGCAACCCTATGAACAAAAAGGCCTGAAGCCTTTCAATAACTATCAACATTTATCAAAGTCTATAGAGTTTTTGGAGGCATGTTGTTTAGGAAGTAGATGCCACCCCTGCTTCCAAAAACTATATAGTATATTGTCCAGATTTTCTATCTGGATTTAATATACATTCTCTCTCTCTCTCTCACACACACACACACACCCTACCTTTTAGCAGGGACCACAAAAAGGTTATTTTGGACAGACTAGGAGAAAAAAGTAGGGGAGAAAGGGGAAGTTTCAAAGTAATTTAAAAAAGAAAAATAATAAGGTGTAATTATTGTTATGTGCCATCAAGTCACCTGCAACTCATAGTGATCCTCTGTATAACAGCTCTGAACTCTGCTCTACCCTGAGCCAGCCTCACTGTCTCCTGCACACCAGGCCCCATTACCCTAGTGTGTCAATTCATCTCATCCGGGCCTCTCCTGAGCTATCTCTCTACCCTTCCAAGCATTATGTTTTTCTCCAGGAACTGGTCCTTCTTCATCACGTGTCCAAAGTATGTGAGACAGAGCTTCAAAATCCTTGTTTCCAAGGAGAAGTCTATTTTTACCCTCTCAAGGACAAATATGTTCATTCTCTTGGCAATCTATAGTATATATTCAGTACTCTTGTCCAGTGTCACAACTCAAAGGCATCAATTCTTCTGTCATCTTTAGTCACTGTCTAGTTCTCTGGTGCCTTGTAAGTAACTGCAGAGACCATGGCCTGAAACAGACGTATCTTGGACTCCAAACTGACATTGTTGCTCTTTAGCACTTTTGAGAAACAGACTAGTAAAAGAGGCTAGAGAATTCAGGTATCCATTAGGTTTGACATTAACTCAATCTAGTGGCTCAATTTACAGGCAAACGAAAGACAGGCCTGTAATATGAGATAAGCATTCCTTAGAATAAGACTAAACATCACTTACTCAAGAACAAAGCTCAGAAGATGAGAAAAGATGGACAAATGGTAAAGGTAGAAACATGGAGAGAAGTAGGAAGAATGCTGTAACAATGTGGGGACTGGAATCAATGCCATGAATCAAATGTATAAGAACTGTGCATGTAAAACTAATTTGCTCCACAAACCTTCACTCAAATTACAATAAAAAATATAAAAATAATTTTTAAAAATGTCAGTTATGGAAACAGATGTTTCTGTATTTTAACACCTAAAGAATTTTACATACATGAAGAGTTGGACAGTAACTAAGGAGGATAGAAGGAGAATTGATGCCTTTGAGCTGTGGTGGAGAAGAATACTGAATGTACTACAGACTACTAAGAAAACAAACAGATTCATCCTGGAAAGGGTTAAACTGGGCGGCTCCCTGGAGGCAAGGATTCTGAGGCTCCATTCTAACATACTTTGGACATGTTTTAAGGAGGAACCGGTCCTTGGAGAGGGACATCATGCTTGGTACGGTGGAGGGACAGTGCAGGAGGGGAACGCCCTCTATGAAGTGGATTGATTCAGTGACTGGGGTAATCGGGATGGGTGTATCGGAGACAGTGCGACTGGCACAGGACAGAGCAGAGTTTAGGGCTGTTGTACATAGGGTCACTATGAGTTGCAAGTGACTCGATGGCACATAACAACAACAACATAGAATTTTAACACACTTAGAACGTATGCCTGCAAGGGGCTCCAACAGACTCTGCTCGATTCAGTCACAGCTAATGAAGAGTGACCAGAACAGATCTGATTTTTTTTAAAGTTACTTTTAAAAAGATACCCAGAAAGACAGCCACATTAGGACAAAATATGGGTTGAAATCTTGCTAGAAATGTCATCTCCCTCTTACAAAAGAAAGGCAAGGTGAGAGTTGCATAGGAACTCAACCTCACCCTTGGAATGTGAGCAGAGCTCAAAGGAGTACTGACTGGCTCAGCCAGGATAGAACTGTTTAAAATGTAAATAAGGGCTATCCATTCACAACCTGGGGACTACCTGTCTCACTTTAATTCTAGGGTCATTTTGTTGCTCCTTTTGAGTATCGTTGAGTCAGAACACAGTTGGTCCTCCAGCACGTTTTCAAAGGTAGTAAATGGCTGAGAGGAGACTGTCCATCATTCACCTTTGAAGAAGATGAGAAATTTGAACCATGCATTTGGGTTGGCAGCACAACCAAGTTCTTGAATTATGTATGTATATACTTTATTTCCTATTATAAACATTTAAAAATATTATAAAGCAGTAATTGTGCTAGAGAGGCTCTCTTGGCATATAATACTCTCTTTTGTCCTCAAAGGGCTCATAATGGATGTAAGACACTAGAAGAGACTGCTACAAAACAGCATGAATGTATAACTTATCCAAGGAGGACAGTACTAACAAAGTCCACAGTGCAGCTCTAACTTCCTATTTCCTTTTACTGTGCTCAGTTCCCATTAAGTTCCCTGAACATTTCCTGATTCAGATGTTTTTAAAAGCCTGAGAATGAGTCAAGTCTCATTTAAATCTAGCTAAGGAGGAGGAACTATGGCTACATGTTGTTGTTTTTGTATACAGCAGAGCTGGAACCAATCCACAGCTGACCCTCCAGCAGGTTTTCAGAGCAGACTGCAGCTGGTGGCCTTGAACCACATGCCTTCTGGATTGCAGTGCAGCTTCTTTCCACTAGGCCCCCAGAGTTCTCAATATGCACTGAGGTTATGGGAAGCTCCTTTCCCATAAGCTAAGTAGTGCCTCACAGGTGATGCAGTATCCTCAGTAAAAACAAAAAGTTACTGTTGGGCACAAGATATCCAGAAACAAGTTACAAACTGCTTACTTGTGAGAAGTCCTTTTCTTCATCATGTTTGCAGACACACCAGCATGTCCTATGAGAGAGGGAAGTATAAAGTCAATGAAAACAGAATAAAAACTCTTTAGAACTGAAGAAAATATTATTACAAACCATTATAAAAAGTATTAAATGACAAGAAAGCATTCATTAATCAACAATTTAGGATACAAAGAAAAGTTTCCAAACTGATAGCATGTGGTCATGAAAAACAGACAGCTGACTCAACACTAGAAAACGGAAAGTAATCAGGAACATGTTAAAAGACTTTTGCTTTCACTTCTACTATTCAACACAATGCTGGGAGCTCTAGCCTCAGCAACACACTAGAAAGAGCATTAGGTAAGAAAATGAAACAAATGGCAATCAAATAGGAAATGAAGAGGTCAAAGTATTTCATCTAGCAAGTGACATGACGCTTTATGTTTAATTAAAAAAGCTTCCAAGAAATCTATTCATTCTAATGAAATGGATTCAGACAAAGTTACAAGAGCAACATATAAAAACTACATTTAAAAACATTAAAAAAAAATCTCTTTTTTATGAAAAGGGGGGGAAAAATCTCCTTTAACTTACCTTATCTTCAAAACAAATACCTACAGATAAATTTAATAAGGCTGGTAAAAAACTAATACACAGAAAACTACAAAAATACTGTTGAAAAAAAGGAATCCAAATTAAACCCAGTGCCATGGAGTTATTTTAGACTAATGGCGAGCCTCTACATTCTGCAATATTTTCTTTTCCTTTTTTTATTTAATTAAGATTATGTATATTTTCTTTGAGATAACTCAATTTACTGTTTTATTTCCAAGTGTAAAACAGTTCCAATTGTCTTGAAATCATCTTTTTTTAATTATACTTTTTATTTCTTCTATCCACTTATGTTGAAGCAATGTGTTGTTCAGCTTCCAAATATGGGGGTTTTTTTCCTCCTTTATCCTCTTGTTATTAATTTCTAATTTTGTAGCACTGTGGTCTGAGAAGATGCTCTGTATTATTTCTATTCCTGAAATCATCTTGCTACTCATCTGAAAGTTCTAGAATTATATCATTTACATCATGATAGAACTCTGTTAGTGTAGTATGCAGGAAGTTGCACTGCTAAACCAAAGGTCGCATCTCTGCTAGTTCGAATCCACCAGTGGCTCTGCAGTAGAAAAATGGGTAATCTCTTCCCCTGTGATTTACAGTCTCAAAGACCCAATAGATTCAACTGTAAGTTGGTTCCAACCTGACAGCCAAGAGAGAATTTATGATTAAAGGAGCAATTAAATAAGATAACTATAATTAACATCTATATACCCAATAGGAGTGCAAGATACACAAGTCAAACTTTTCTTCTCTACTGTGTATTAGACATTCTCCATAATGGACCATATGTTAGGTCACAAAGTAAATCTTAATTAAAAAATAATGAAATACTACAAACTATCTTCTCAAACTGCAATTTTATAAAATTAGAAATCAAGAAAATCAAAGGGGGGAAAAATCAAGAACTTACAAACTCAAACACTACCAGATCTGATCACTACTGGGTATGTTGCTATGTGATGTTAAGTGGGAAAAGACTCACAGCTGTCTTTATAACAGGTTTCAGAGGCTGTAAATCGCATGAGGAAAGGTGATTCATCTTCTCAAGGAGGATCAGGTAGAATCAAACCACGTGTCTTTGGATTGGCAACAGAACTCTTTATCCACCAGTCATCAGAGCTCCCCACAAGGTATGTTGTTTTCTTACAAGGCTCTCCCCCCTTTTCTCTTGTTGTGTACCATTGAGTCGGATCCTACTGGCAAAGGAAGAAATTGCCCATCTTTCTCCAGCAGAGAATCTTATGGATTCAAACCATATGCCTTCAGGATTACAGTGCAGCTTCTTGCTGCTAGGGTACCAGGGCTTCCTGGTATGTTGTGTTGTTTTTTTTTACCATCAAGGCAGAACCGAGACTGTCCATCTTTCTCCCATAGAGCAGCTGTGTCTTGGGGACTGCAGTGTAGCTTCTTACCATTAGGCCACCAGAGCTCACTGACTGGGTATAGAAGATATTTTAAAACCAACCAACCCACATACCCTTTAAACAAATTAGAATACAACATACTAAAGAGATATGTTGTTATTAAGTGCCACTAAGTACGACTCATAGTGTACCTACAAACAACAGATATGAACCATGTCCTATACTGTGCCATTCTCACCAATACTTGAGCCCACTGCTATAGTCATTTTGTCAGTCCAGATGGTCGATAATCTTCCTCTCTTTCGCTGACCCTACCATGATATCCTTCCCCAAGGAATAGCCTTTCCTAGCAACATCCCCAAAGTATGTGAGAGAAAGTTTTATCATTTGTGCCTTCAAGGAGCACACTGGCTACAACTTTTCCAAGACTATCTATCTGTAGCAAAAGTAGTAATACTAAGAGGCCAAATTATAGCTATCTAGATACACACTAAAAAAAAGAACCAAAATCAACACCTTAATCAATATCTCCAATCATCAGAGAAAGAATAGCAAACAACCTATCTCCTCTAAAAGAAGGAAATAAAGATTAGAATAGAAATAAATTAAACAGAAAAGCAATATAAAGAACCAACAAGATTAAGAAGTTGCCTCTTTGAAAGAATTAATAAAATTAACAAGTCACTAGCAAATCTGACAAAGGACAAGATGATGCAAAAAATCAGAGTAAGAAATTAAATGGGTGATGTCTCAACAGAACCAACCGAAATGAAAAGGGTAGTAAAATACAACAAATAACTACACTCCAGCAACTTTGAAAACCTAGAAGAAATGAGAAAGTTTTTAGAAACCCACTGATTACTGAAGCAAACAAAAAGTCAGAAAATTTTAATGGACCATCACAAAAGAAATTAATTTAAAACCCTATTGGGGGGAAAAAAAGACAAACAGGTCACAAAAGTCACCTAACCAAACAAGTCCTGATTGCCAGAGTTTCACGAGCAAATTCTATCAAACATACTAGGGATATTGTAGCTAATGTTAGATGGATCTTAGCTTAAAGCAGGGAATACTGGGGGAGTGCCTATCTGTGTTTCATTGATTATGCAAAGGCCTTTGACTGTGTGGATCATAACAAACTACGGCTAACTCTGAGAAGAATGGGAATCCTAGAATACTTGATAGTGCTAATGCAAAACCTATACTTGGAGCAGGAGGCAGTCGTCAGAACAGAACAAGGAAACACTGCATGGTTCAAAATTGGGAAAGGTGTATGCCAGGGATGTGTCCTGTCCCCATACCTTTTCAACCTGTATGCAGAACAGATTATATCTGGGAGGCTCAGCTCTATGAGGAGAAATGTGGCGTCAGGATTGGTGGAAGAACTATCAACTATCTGCGTTATGCAGATGACACAACAATGCTTGCTGAAACTGAGGAGAACCTGAAGCACTTGCTGCAGAGGGTCAAGGACTGCAGACTTCTATATGGATTGAGGTTCAGTATCAAGAAGACAAAGATTCTCACCACTGGACCAATTGGCAGCATCAGGACGGATGGTGAAGAGATTGAGATTGTTCACAGCTTTAGTCTGCTTGGCTCCACAATCAACACTCTTGGCACCAGCAGCCAGGAAATGAAAAGACGTATTGCAATGGGAAAGTCTGCTGTTAGGGACCTCTCCAAAGTACTGAAGAGCAATGGTGTCTCTTTGGAGACTAAAGTGTGTCTGATACAGGCCATGGTCTTTGCAAATCACTTGTTATGTGTCAGAGAATTGGACAATGACTAGGGAGGATAGGAGAACAGATGCCTTTGAGCTGTGGTTCTGGAGAAGAGTGCTGAGGGTACCAAGGACTGGTAGGAAAACAAACAGATTCATCCTGGTGAGGGTTAAACCAGGCTACACCTTGGAAGCAAGGATCCTGAGGCTTCATCTGACATAATTTGGACATGTTATAAGGAGGGACCGGTCTTTGGAGAGGGACATCAAGCTTGGGAGGGTGGAGGGCCGGCGCAGGAGAGGAAGTCCCTCTAAAAGGTGGATTGATTCAGTGACTGGGGTAATCGAGATGGGTGTATCGGAGACGGTGCAATTGGCTCAGGACAGACAGAGTTTAGGGCTATTGTACATAGGGTCACTATGAGTAGCAAGCGACTCGAAGGCACATACCACCACCACCACCACCAATTCTATTCAAACTATAACAGAATATAGAAAACGATGGATTATCCCTAAACTCAGTCTATAAAGCAAGTACAATCATGATACCAAAGGCAGGGAGAGATGTGACTAAAAATATTTTATGAGCATGTTATGTGCCAGAGTTGACTGCAACTCATAATACAATAGCTCTGAATTCTGCACTATCCTGAGCCAATTTCACTGACTCCAACACATCTACACCCCTAATTCCATTACCCCAATTACCATGTCAATCCATCTCATCCTGGGTTTTCCTCTCCTGTGCTGTCCCTCCACCCTTCCAAGCATGATATCCTTCTCCAAAGATTGGTCCCTCCTGGCCACGTGACCAACATATGAGAGATGAGGCTTCAAAATCCTTGCTTCCAAGGAGAAATCTGGTTTCACTCTCTCTAAGACAGACCTATTTGTTCTCCTGGTGGTCCATGGTATATACAATGCTCTTCTCCAGCACCATAACGTAAAGGCATCAATTTTTCTGTCATCCTTAGTTATTGTCCAGCTCTCTGATGCATAGCAAGTAATTACAAAGGCGATGGTCTGAATCAGGCATAGCTTAGTCTCTAAGCTGACATCATTGTTCTTTTATCACTTTGGAGAGGTTTTTCACAGGCGACTTCTCCAATTCAATTTGTCTTTTGATTTCTTGACTCTTGATGCCAAGAGTGTTGTTGATTGTGTAGCTGAGCAAGGTGACACTATTAACATTCTCAATCTCTTCTCCATCTATCGTGGTGCTGCCAACTGACCCAGTGGTGAGAATCTTTGTCTTCTTGATGTTGAGCTTCAATCCCTACTGAAGACTACAGTTCTTGACCGTCTTCAGCAAGCGCTTCAGGTCCTCCTCAGGTTCAGCAAACAAGGTTGTTTCAT